CCATTTTTTTATTAAATGAACCTTCTTATATTACTATATGTACATATATGCATACACTCTCGTCCGTCACTCGCAACCGGCACAACTTTAAGAGGTCGCCGTTAGATTCCCCATAACGTCCTGTAAATAAGACCGTTCCGGGTCCTTTTCATTTCCAATACACTATAACATATCCATTTCGTGGGGAATGGGCATTTTAAAACACTTTTCCGTGTGTTTAGGTCGACTCCCAATCCCGTGTTTAGTGAGTATAGTGGGGAGCGGCGTCCCGCCTCGCTGACACCAGGACGTGATATGAAAGCAACTTGATGTCTTTATCGGCCCCCTTGATACGGCCCCCGGTGTATGTGAATTTAAATATTTTCACTTCAACATAAGTACGTGCGCTTTGGCGTTTTCTTTTAGTTCTCTAAAGTGCTAGTTTTCTTGCCAACATTGAAAATTAAATTTTAAACACAAAATTCGGATTGCCGAAATCAAGCTTAGCGTTATTTTAAAAAAATAAAAGAGTATTTTACTAATGAACTGAACATGTTTTTTTAAAAGGAGCATGGGTTAAAAAATAAACAATCTACAATATTATTTTTTAAATTTATATTAATTTTAAACCACTACTACATATTAGATATATTTCTTAAATGTTGTTTAAAATTTTTAAGTTTGTACAATAAACCTATGGCTCACTACACGTTTTGGGATACTGTAAGTGTGGTGAGTAATTCATAAATAAATAAATAAATAAACATTACTTTTTATTTACTAAAATGGAACTAGTGAACTAATATAAAGTGAATAAATTTGTTCCTACATCATCGCTTAGTAACAACATTGGAAACATACTTCAAATAATATACGCATATCCTTTCACCATACACTTTCAATCGTGACGGACAGACAGTGCGCAAAAATAGAATTGTGTTTACTATTCAGCACGGCTAGCTTCAATGTAAAACCTGAAAGCTAGGGTTCGAGACGCACTCCTCAGAGGTTACGTCCCCTTTGAAAGCTTGTAAACACTTGTCTGTGATAGAAAATGTGAGTTTATTCCGCCGGTAGGTATATATTTGATAGTCGGCTGCGAGGGTAAATCTCTCAGTTCGGACTCGTAGACCTTTTTCAATGTAGACCTTGCGATACATTATTTAATGATATGTCCTGGATATATACACACTTTTTTTTTGTACATTACAAATATATACTGTGAACTAAAATCAAATAAATCGTGATCAAAACTAAAGGAGAAAAATAATTTTCGGAGCTTTTGTCCTTGCATGAGACATATTAAGCAAGCGGATATATGTATTGGTACTCGTTGTCTATCTCATATTTTATGTAGCATGATAATTCTCTCAATTCTCTCTATCTCCTTTCACTCATTTTTTTGCTTTATATTCTTCACGGCTCTGGAACGCGCTTCCTGATACCATCAAGAGACTTCCGTCTAAACCGTCATTAAAAAAAGGTTCCTGTCCATTTTTAAACTTTATCTAAGCAGTAAGTGTTATCTACTATTCTAGTCTTCATATGAAATATAGTACATCTTTTATATTATATGTATAAAATTACATATAAAAGATGTACTTTTATATGTACTTTTCATACACAGGTCGGCAGTCAGCTTATTTGTCATTCTAAGTTGCATAAAAAACCGCATTCGAATATTCTGATACTTCTCTAAGATTGACAGGGAGTGAATGCTTTAATCATTAAGTCAGCCTTATATACTCCTCTTATGGGGAACGCTTATGTTCAGCAGTGGACAGTTGACGGCTAAAATGATGATGATTATGAATTATCATTATCTTAATGTCATACCATCACTAAGTAAAGACTTGCCGTAACAGTTTTTCGTTAAAAACTAGCACAGTCATTAGCACTTCGTTTTGCATTTGTAAACACGTTTTGTTACCAAATTCCAGCCACTAGTGACATAGCAAATTACTTTTAAGCGGAAATTTCGCCAGCTCACTCTTGTAATGACCGCTGGGCGTCCCGCAAACAAACCAAAAGTTTCAACTTACCAACTTGTTCTGAATTTTCCAACGGAAAATACCATTAGTCCCTTCAACCTTGGAGTTCCCGAACGCTTTGTTGTTCAATGCCTGTTTAACTAATGATCGCGCCGCAATTCTTTATGTTGGAAGGGTAATCTGTATCGGGATGGCGGTAATGTATGGCTCGGTTTAACGCTACGAGAAAGTGATAACTCAAAAACGCAACGTTGAACAATGGCGGATGTTTCACTGGAGTGGTTCGTATATATTTGAATATTCTGGTACAATTTTATACGACCATGACCACTTTTGTATTGTTATCTAAAGTTTATCCTCATCATCATCATATCAGCTTTTAACTGTCCACTGCTGAACATAAGGCTCCTCCTTGGGGGGTTTTGCCAGTAGTTGCAATACGTGGCAGGTGGATTCGCAACCGCAGTCAGGCTTTAGAAGTGTTTTAAGAAGGACGCTGCTGCCCATCCCTCGCCCTCTTTAGTCGCCTCTTACGACGCTCACGGGAAAGGAAGGGGTGGCCTATTCTATGCCGGGACCATACGGACAAGCTATATGTAAAGTTTATGTTATTGTACATTTGGTATTATATACCATTGTCATTAGTTGCCATCATTGAAGTCGTTAAATTTTTGTCCGTTTTTGAATCTACGCGTCTCCCGTAGACTTTTTTTTAGTAGCTGAGAACAGAATGGTGACCTCGCCTGCGATATCGGTATACACTGGCCTATTGCCAGTGGAGGTAATAGGTGAGGATGAAAGCAGATCAGTTAGCCCATCATGCCGATTGATTCCACAAGAATTAACCACGATGGTTTCCAAGGAGAACCGCGTGGAGGTACACTTGATGGAGTATATTGCTAATAATGAAGCTGATAGACCTCATTACTAATAATCCCTTCCACCCCCTCCATAAACTGTATAAAGAAAGGTTTTGAGCCACCAGCATCCACTGACTTTCTGCAACATAACTAATTTCGTCGTTCTATCTATATCGTCGTCTGCATTTTCCCGTACGATGTCGCGTCTTAAGAACATTTATTCTTCATAAAAAAAATTGTCAAACCTTTTTTAATCTTTACCACCTCCTCACCGTGCATTTTTCAAGACACTTTCTTCCACGCAAAATCATTCTTTGGAATCAACTTCTAGCAGCAGTATTTCCGAACCGATACGACGTCATAACCTTCATGAAAAGAGAATATTTCTTTTTAAAAAACCGGCAGCACACCTGCAATGCCTCTGGTGTTGCGGGTGATCATAAGCGGCGGTTAGTCACTTACCATCAAATGAGCCGCATACTCGTTTGTCCCCTGTGTTATAAAAAAAAAAACTTATTAAACTTTTAAGGAAAGATGTAGAAAGTAGAGCTAAAAAAGATTTTTAATATCATTATCTTTCCAAGAACATTGGAAATGCTATTTAAATATAAAGAGCTAATATAATGACCGCCATGAAATTACCATGGGAAAGCGCCAGGTTAAAGGCAAGTAAAGCTCCTCGATTCTTTGACTAGTCGTTCATAGCAATTATTTTGAATTGTTATTCCGTTTAATGAAAATGTTATAAACAAGACTGTGAACTGTAACGGTGTAATGACAGGCCTAGTGGGAACGGACATTTGCTTGGTTATAGTTATAGATGGAGCCAGGAAACTGGCAGATATATGGCTATTTTTTTATAAGACTGATGGAAAGTATATATACAGAGTGTACTATTTCACCCATGGTAACTCCCATGCGTTGCCATTCTTGAGGAATAAGGTGTTATGGCTCTGTACCCTGTAATTTTACTGCCATATCCCATCTTTCAAACCGAAACACAACCATGCATAATCAATTATCAATTTTATTATTATTTTCTGATTTATTTTGTAGCTTGCCCAATAAACATTATTATGCCCCTATCGCTACCGCTACTGAGTCAGTTCTTTACTTATTTGAATGAATCTATCCTATCTGTCAAGTTTTTTTTTTATTTTTTTTAATGGATGAAATTAAAATGGTTCCCCGCCTGCGCTAATGGTATACGCTGACGAGGCACCAATAAGGGATGATAAGTGACATGAAGAAGCAGGTCAGTTATCCCATCGTGGTTAATACACTAGGGATTCAGTATGATGATTTTCAAGGGGACCACGTAGAGGTCGACCTGACAGGGCATATTGCTAACAATTGGAATGGTAGTCTGCATTACAAACAATCCTTTCCGAATCAAATTGTATTGTATAAGCAATTGATTGTCCACTGCTGGATATGGGGAACTGATGGGAGGTTATGGTTTTTTCCAATTGTTATCATGATTGGCAGACCGCAGTTAGGCTTTGGTAATGTTTTAAGAGAAACGCTGCTGCTCATCCCTAGACCATTAAATTCGTTTAGTCGCCTCTTACGACATCCATAAGACACAAAGGAGAGGTCCATTCTACGCCGGGACCACATGGCCAAATTAGATTCAAATATACTCAGCAAAATATTTGATATCTATATATATCGAGTTCTTCTGGACATTGATTACCACTAATCGCGATATCGCCCATACCAGTCGGATATCTATATTCACTACGAGCGGGTTCTTATTTTCGAAAATATATATTTGTTAACCGAAAATTAATATATCTGTTATTGTACCAATATATGTTTAGATATTGTAGCTGCAATATATAGATTTTACTATATATCACCCACCCTTACTCATAAAAGACTTAAGTCGTGAGCATATTTAATATTATTCACCAAGCGAATATGATCCATATATCGTCCCAACCGACACATTTGTCCCAAAATATCGCATCCCCATCGCGGATATCCCGCTCGTTTAAAAGCCTACGGCGAAGTGGGTACTTTATAACGTAATGGGTACGTTCCATTTTTACGTTGTCGCAAATTATACACGCGACCAATGGACATTTGCAACTCAAACAAACCAGCTGCAATTTGTCTGATTGAAATTATTGGCTGCACTTGTTAATTTACTTTATTCTTGTTCCAGATGGCGCCGCTGAGCTTCGGACGGCGAATAGCGGCCTTCCTCACCTCCAATACGTTTGTGGTACGTATTTTCAACTCTATTCGTGCCTTACGATAATTGTATATTACGATACGTCTACAATATTATTTTCTCCTATTTCTAAAGGAAATTGCTTCATTATTTTAAATTAAATTATACGTCAATCGGCTCTTTTCAGTTTTCAACGAAATAACACTCTAGATTTATGACGATTATAATGCAAGTTGTTGGACAATTTTGTTTGTTTTTTTTATTTATTTATTTTTAACCCAACACAGTGATAGTAAGAATTGCTTAAGAGATTTTTTTTTTTTAATTTATCTTGAAGTCTAAATAAGTTTTCTTCTTTTTTTAATGTATCTTGAAGTCTAAATATTTAAATAAATTAAAGTTATACTTATTTATTTATTACATCCGCATGACCGGGATAATATGTAATTTCTTTGTCTTGCTGTATCCCAAATACTACATAGCAATGTGAATGCCAGATTTCATAATTATTGAATAAGACGTTAAGGTAACAAAACAAAGTCGCATTTATAAACAAATTAGCATGGAATAATGATGACCTAATATGATAGTAATAAATAACGATGATGTTTATTTAAAAGATATATATCTCTTATCCCATGTGGTCCCGGCATAGAATAGGCCACCCGTTCCTTTCTCGTGGGTGTCGTAAGGGGTAACTAAAGGAGGACGTGATATGGCCACCAACGTCCCTCTTAAACATCTCCAAAGCCTAATTGCGATTGCCAATCCGCTTGCCAAGCGTGGCAACTACTGACAAAACCCTAAAAACGAGAGGCTTATATTCAGCAGTGGACAGTTAAAAGCTGATATGATGATAATGATATATCTCTTAAAAAGTTTAAAAAAAGAACACTGACATGTAATAATCTATAAATACGTTAAAATTACTATCTATCTATTTGGCTATAAAATAATTCAGCTACCGAATAATATTCAGTGTGCTTTACCAATTACCTCCATAGAGCAATAAATCAAGATCGAAATATTGATAAGGTTAGTTCCGCCCGCGCCGCGCGCCCCGCGACCCCTCACTACTATGAATTACCCGCGCAAACATCCCCCACGCGAATAATTTATCCGTACATTTTCGTAATTAAATCAGTTACTCGGTACAACAATACGAATTATACACTATTTGCGCAACAACAAATCGAGCGAATAACAATTAACGCGCCTCGATTAAACGAAACATACTGAGGACGCTCGGATACGCACAGAAACGGTTATGCATAATGCGGTGCACTCATTTGCCCAACGTTTGTGGACGACAAATGAAGCGAGATGAAAAGCGCTATTTTATTGTGACCAAAGAAACGTGAACCGTCAGGATTTGTCTACAATATGAGAGTGAAGGTCTGTAAATATCAGTGTACGTCGAAACGCAAATTCGCGAAATAGCGCCGCCTCTAATAGCGCGTGAACTCTGTGATTGTCCGTATGGGTAAACACACTGTTTATGAATCGATGCGTGTTTATGGTTTATATGGGGCAGAAAGCCCTTTATCAGTATTCTGCATTAGATCCATTAGCCAGCGAATAGGTATACGTACCTACATATTTTTGTTGTTCCTTTATTTATTCCCCAGTTAGCTCGTAACTCATATTTACAGAAAACGTAACTTCATTATATCGTATATACGTAAAGTATTGATTAATAATAATGTGCTTTGTAGAATTATTGGATACTACATCGATACCTACTTTAAAAGAGATTCGTGAATAAAATAAATTAAATATCACAATATATGTAATGTATACTAAAGAAGAAATTGTTAAATTTTATTATTTTTATATCAACATTTTAATTTTTAGTAAACATTACATACAACTCTTCAAAAATACTCTTCCTTTTACGTGGATGTCATAAAAGGCAACTAAGGAAACTTAATAGTTGAGGAATAGACAAAAGCGTCCCTCTTAAAACACCACCAGAAGTCTAACTGCGACTGCTTGCCGCCTACCAAGCATGGCAACTACTGGCAACACCCTTTTATAGTTACAGTTAACGGCTGACATGATGACATACAAGTATAAGTATACTAGGTTTAAAAAAATCCTAAATTAGATCGGTCGAAAATAGAATTTGTGACTGTATTTTCTATGCAACGTGTATGTAGCTCTTTTCTAATAGCCGTTACCCAAAGAGATCTGCGGGTCTACCATGTAATGAATTTCCGAAATTTCGGACTCCATTTCGTGTTTTTGTTTATACCAAAATCGGACCAATAAATGGAGTTTAACATTTCGTTCGTCATACATCTTATCATAAAAGTCCAAAGAAACAATATTTTAACATTTTTAATATTTCCAAACGACATGTATTATGTAATTTTAACATCAAATTTCTGTTTCGTTTGGCTCCGAAATTTCGAAAAACATTTCTCTTTCAATTGACTAGTCGTTCATACCTAATATTGAGTTCATTTCGTCACACATAATTATTATATGCTACTATCTACTCACTACACCAGTGTTGCCAATTTAGATACTTTTCGGGCAATTTTGGGTAAAAATTTTGTGCCCAAGAAATTTTGGAGTGTTGAAAGAAATGGAGAAAAATGAAGAGAATGTGGAGGGTATTTTATGAAGGTATTTTTATTTTTGAAGAGTTTTGTTATTTATAAACCCTATATAAAATATAAATTATATATGAATAAAAATTCAATAGAATTGTAACATAAAGTGAAAAAGTTAGATTCATAAAAGCGTTTTTTTTTCGTCGTTCATGTATTAGTTATAGATTAGATATATTTATAATCAAAATATAGTAAAAAATAACAACATCGTATCACTTTTGGAAAAAAATACATTAGAATAAAAATATAATATCGCATCTGGCAACCTTACAATAAACAGTCTCATATGTATATATAATATATGTCATATAATACATGCTCCACTAACAGCTTAATATATACTGCACAAGCAACGTTCCCGTATTAATTAATAGATGATTGGTTTCCATATCTCCACACGAGAACGTTCTCGAACAACGACCTGCCAAATTTTCATTTTACTGAACAATGCAGCATTCAGTTGTTGCTGTTTTAGTTTTATTTTTGGTATATTATAGACATAATACAAAATAGATTGATAAATTATAAAGTACTGTATATCTGGATTCTCTGTAACAAGAAGTATATTTTTTCGCCAATAAGGAACTCTATTACTGAAAATTTATCTTTAAGTGTTGCCACTGTGTATACGAGGTCTGTCCGGAAAGTTCGTATAAAAGTGTTCTGGAATGCGAGAAAGAGGAGTGGGGAGGCCAGGTAAGCGCAGGACCCCTTCCTTATGTCCCTGACAATGCTTCAGTTCTGGTCTGACCGCCGTGCGGTGCGAACTGGCTTGTCACGCCATCTGTGAAGTTACCTCTTAACGAAACCCCGTCGGCATGGAGCCCGCTTCCGTTGAAGAGCAGCGCGTCGTAATCAAGTTTCTCTCGAAACTCGGCAAGAATAAATTTTTGCCGATCTCAAACATTTATGGGGATGATGCTGTGAAGGAACCAACCGTCCACAAGTGGCTAAAAAGATTCAGAGAGGGCCGAGACAATGTTGATTGTTTTTTTCGATGTTCGGGGGATTGTCCATCAAGAATTCGTCCCTCCAGGCCAGACAGTTGATGGAAAATTCTAAGTCGATGTGCTCAGACGCCTCAAAGCTCGTTTGGCACGAGTTCGTCCAGAAGTGGCGCGAGAGGGGCGTTGGATTCTTCACCACGACAATGCCCCTGCCCACACCTCTCTTGTTGTCCGTGAGTTTTTGAGTAAAAATTCCATTACGGTGACCGAACACCCCCTATTCGCCGGATTTGGCCCCGTGTGACTTCTTCTTGTTCCCAAAAACCAAATTGGTACTTCGGGGGCGGCATTTGGGGGACATATGAGATAAAAAAGCTACGACGGGGCAGCTGAGAAACCTACAACCAGAGGACTTTCAAGGAGCCTTCTCACAGTGGAAACGGCGTTGGCACAAGTGCATTATGTCACAGGGGGAGTACTTTGAAGGGGATAAAATTGATTTACCTGAATAATTATAAAATAAAATTTTTAAAAAACTTTTATACGTACTTTCCGGACAAACCTCGTATATATAAATATAACCTATAACGCCTATTACGGTAATCACGACTAGTGTTGCGTGTTGTTGTTTAAAAATCTCTGAGTTGTGTTGACAATCATTCTGCTGTATATTTATTTCCTTAAAATTAGAACATTACAATTAACTATACAATTGGTACAGAAGAATAACACCTAAGTCCTCAGGACATGCATGGGGACGCATGAGGAGTACCATAGGCGAAACAGTGTACTCTGTTATGTCCATGATACTGCTCATTTCAATAGGCAACGGTTACCACTTACAATCAGGTGGGCCGTCAGCTTGTTTGCCATTCTAAGTTGCATAAAAAAATTACATAATAGTTAAAAAAATAAAAAAAAATCACCGATAAACAATCTATAGATATTTATAATAAAGATACACTAAGTAAAAATTCTCTTTTCTACCTGCTTCCTTATTAACTTCCCAAAATTATGCTATATTTTTTGTAGCAACTTTTAAGTAGCGACATTCTGGAAATTCTGTTTAGTGTAATTAAATACTAATTAATACATTATATCTCTAAAGGGCTTTACCCAAATACTTTGCCTTAAAAGGAATTTTCAACGATATATTTATTATAAAAAGCCATAAATCGTAGACTAAACTCGAAAACGGCTCTGGGATTCATTATAATTCAGTCGGTCGTCGGCTGTCGTCTCTGTCGCTCGCATTTTTAATCAACAGGCCCGCCAGAATTTGCTAGCTAATTTGAATAACGGATTTCGCCGTTGGCCATTGCGAAAGGGTTGTTTTAGGGTACCGTTTAGTCGAGCCATGGACTAACACAAACAGGTGGACGGTGACTGATTTAGTTTGCATTTTAATTAACGTTTGGCATTATTATGCCCTCCAGTTATAATTTAGTACCAATTGCAAATATGGTAAATTAATTATTTCTACATA